GTTGTTGTTGTTGTTGTTGTTATTAATGTTGTTATTGTTGTATGGTTGTTGTTGTTGTTGTTTTTATTATTTGTTGTTATTTATTTGTTGTTGTTGTTGTTATTAATGTTGTTATTGTTCTCTCTCTCATGGGACGGGAGAGGATGTTCATAGGAGCGCCTGGCCTTCTACTGGCAGGGTGAGCGTTATGGTTGTTCACTTGACCTACATTGCATACACTTGCAAACAAGCACCTACATCATGCATGCATACATACATACATACATACATACATACATACTACCAATACATATATACATACAAACTTACAAACTTACATACATGCATACATATATATACATACATACATACATACATACATACATACATACCATACCTAATATTCCTGTATAATAGCTTGTGTATATTTAATGTGATTTTGTGCCATTATAGAAGGATCGTAGTAAGTATCGTGAAGTAACTTATAATATTGTAATGTACTTAAATGTTTGTTAATCCTCTGTTTTTTTTATAAGTGTTGGTGTTATCCTGTTGATTTTTTTGTGTGTTTGTTTGTGTATATTTTGTTAAAGGTAGAGAGAGAGAGTCAAGTTATGTGTAAAGGTATGGTTAGGTTAGGTTAGGTTATCCCCAACCCACCTCCTTATCCCTCTACCCTCCCATTCCCCACACCCCAACACCCACACATACCCCCCACCTCCTACCCCCACCCTCCTACCCCACCACCTCCTACCCCCACCCTACACCTCCCTACCCCCATCTCCTACCCCCTCCTACACCACCTCCCCCCACCCACACTGAGGGGGGTGAGATATAGGGATGGGGATATGTGAAACAGGAAGGAGGTGTAAAGGGGAAGGGTGGGGTGCCATACCCCCTTCTCATCCCTTCCCCCTCCTCCCTCAACTCTATTCCCTCTCTCGTCTCCCTTTCCTCCCCTCCCTCCTCCCTTCCTCCTCCCCATCCTCCTTTCCTCCCCTCCCCCTGTCCTCTCCTCCTCCCTCCCTCCCCTCTTCCCCTCCTCCTCCTCTCCTCCCTCCCCTCTCCCTGTCCTCCCCTCTCTTCCCCTTCCTCCTCTCTCCTCCTCCCCCCTCTCTTCCCCCTTCCTCTCCTCCCCCTCTCTTCCCCTTCCTCCTCCTCTCCCTGTCCTCCCCTCTCTCCCTTCCTCCCCTCTCCCTTTCCTCCCCCTCTTCCCCCTTCCTCTCTCTCCCTCCTTCCCCTTCTTCTCCCCCTCCTGCTTTCAGATTTGGTGCAGAGGAAAAAGTCACATATATAATTCTCCTGACCACAATGGGATTATCGACCACCTATAATTATATCAGGCGGGGTCGAACCTGGTGCTACAGGGGGTGTTGACCTCTCACCCCGCTCACCCTCACTCAATGATTGCTTAAGGCCGTACACAGAGATGCTTGTAGTCCTTCCGTGTGTGTGTGTGTGTGTGTGTGTGTGTGTGTGTGTGTAAGATGTGTGGTTCAAGTACCACCCTCTCTTTCTCCCTCCCTCTTCCTCCACTCCACCCACCCCTTCTTACATACCTCTCCACCCCACCCCTCTTCCCACCTCTCCACCCCACCCTCTTCACCCTTGCCTCTCCACCCACCCCTCTTCACCCTTACCTCTCCACCCCACCCCTCTTCCCTTACCTCTCCACCCCACCCTCTTCCCCTTACCTCTCCACCCACCTCTTCCACCTTCTCCACCCACCCCTCTTCTCCTCTCACCACCCCATCTTCACCTTACCTCTCCACCCTCCTCTTCACCCTTACCTCTCCACCCCTCTTCACCTTACCTCTCCACCCACCCTCTTCACCATCCCACCCCACCCCTCTTCACCTCCCTCCCACCCCTCCCCTCTTCCACCTTACCTCTCCACCCACCCCTCTTCACCTTACCTCCCACCCACCCATCTTCCCCTTACCTCTCCACCACCTCTTCACCTTACCTCCCCTCACACCCTCCCTCTTCACCCTACCTCTCCACCCACCTCTTCACCACCTCTCCACCCACCCATCTTCACCTTACCTCTCCACCCCACCCCTCTTCACCCTTACCTCTCCCACCCCACCTCTTCACCCTTACCTCCACCACCCCTCTTCACCCTTACCTCTCCCACCCATCTTCTTTACCTCTCCACCCCCCTCTTCACCCTTACCTCCTCCACCCCCTCTTCACCCTTACCTCTACCCCACCCATCTTCACACCTACCTCTCCACCCTCCCCTCTTCACCCCTTACTTCTCCACCTCCCCCTTCCTACCTCTCACCCCCACCCCTCTTCACCCTCTCTCCACCCCCCTCTTCACCCTCTCCACCACCCCTCTTCTTACCTCTCCCACCCCTCTTCATCCCCTCTCCACCCACCCATCTTCACCTTACCTCTCACCTCCCCTCTTCACCTCCTCTCCCCACCCCCCTCTTCCCTTACCTCTCCACCCACCCATCTTCACCTTACCTCACCCTCCTCTTCACCCTTACCTCTCCACCTCCCTCTTCACCCTTACCTCTCCACCACCTCTTCACCCCTACCTCTCCACCCACCTCTTCACCCTTCCTCCACCCCTCCCCACCCTTACCTCTCCACCCCCCTCTTCCCCTTCCTCTCCCCCCTCCCCACCTCATTTTTTGTAGAGATAGAAGGTGAAGGAAGATTAAGGTGGGGAGGAAGAGTTATAGTTCAGAAATTGAAGAAGTTTGGAGGAGGTAAGAGAGCGGGCTGACCGCCTAGCTAAGCTAATAGTGTGTTAGGGTTGTGTCATGGGTTAGTTATTGTCTGCCGGTACAGGCACTAGACAGCCTACCCTTTCCCATACATGGTGTTTAAAGGCCTTATTTCATATTCCGCCGACCCTACTGGCGGATGCTGGTCTAGGGAGGTTGTCTATTGCCTGGCCGTGTAGATCGGGGGTGGTAATGGACTGCTTTTGAGATTTGGTAACTTTTTGGGAAATGTATGGTTGTTGTCGTTGTTTTCCCCAACCTGCCCCCCCCACCCCTCCCTCTCCACCCCCTTACCCCCCCCTCTTCCTCTCCCTCCTCTCCCTCTCTCCCCCCCTCCTCCCCTCCCCTCCCCTCACACACAACACCCCCCTGTCAGCGTTTATGTATTTGTCAGTGGGGTGATGTTGGAGTTGATGGAATAGTGGTTGTTGTAGAGAGGCAGCTATATTGTGATCTATCTCTCTCTCTCTCTCTCTCTCTCTCTCTCTCTCTCTCTCTCGCTCTCGCTCTCGCTCTCCTCTCTCTCTCTCGCTCTCTCTCTCTCTCTCTCTGTCTTTTGTCAATCTATTTATCTAGACCAGGTAGCTACCACACACACACACACACACACACACACACACACACACACACACACCTCTACCCCCATTAGATGAACCATAGTACCTCCTCCCCCCTCCACCCCTCTCTTCTTCTCATCCTCCTTCTCTCTCTCCCCCAGCCTCCTCCTTCTCACCTTCTCCTGTCTCTCTTTCTCCTTCCCTGTCTACTCTATTTCTCTGCCTTCATCCTCCCTTCTTCTCCTCCTCTCCCTTTCTCTCCTCCTTTCTACTGTCCTCTCTGTCCCTCCTCCCTTTCCTCCCCTTCTCTTCCCCTCTGCTCTCCCTCCCCTCAATCATCTCCTCCCCTCCCCGCTCCTTTCTTCCTTCTCTCCTCCTTCCCTTCTCTCCCTCCTCCCTTCCCTCTCCCTTTTCTACCCCTATATCCTCTCTCCTCCCCTCTGTCCCTCTCCTCCCTCCTTTCCCCTCGTCTCCTCCTCTCCCTCCCTCCCCTCGTCTCCCTCCTCCCCTCCCCTCCCCTCGTCTCCTCCCTCCCCCTCGTCTTCACCTTCGTCATCCGGGCCTCGTCAATGGCAGCACACTATGTCAAACGAACAACAAGATTATAAACATTCTGAGGTCGGAGGAGAGTGAAAATTGGAAGAAAGAGAAACTCCCTCCTGATTCTCCTCCCCTCTCCATCACCCCCTCCTCCTCCCCCTAACAACCCTCCTTCTCTCCTCCTTCCATCAACACCTCCCTGCTCCTCCTCCTCCCCTCTCCTCCCCTCCTCCTCCTCCCTCTCCTCCTCCCTCCCCCCCTCCTCTCCCCCTCCTCTCTCTCCTCCTCCCCTCCCTCCTCCCTCTCCCTCTTCCTCCCCCCGTCTCCTCCTCTACCGTGATTCAAGAGGCCATTATCACACCTCCCCTCTTCCCCTCCTCCTCCTCCTCCTCCCTCTCCCTCCCCTCTTCCTCCCTCTCCTCCCCCCCATCTTCCTCCTCCTCTACCGTGATTCAGAGACCATTATCCACCCTCCCCTCTTCCCCCTCCTCCTCCTCTCCTCCTCCCTCCTCTCCTCCTCTTCCTCCCCCCTCTTCCTCCTCCTCCTCCCCTCTTCCTCCTCCCCTCTTCCTCTCTTCCTCCCCTCTTCCTCCCCCCTCTTCCTCCTCCTCTACCGTGATTCAGGGACCATTATCACAGCAGCCTTGAGTAAACAAGTTAGCCGGGGATAAACAAACCAGAGTTAAGACGCTATATCCTCCCTCTCCTCCTCCTCCCCCCTCTTTCCCCTCTTCTTCCCCATTTCCTCCCCTCCTCCTTTCTTCCTCCTTTCTCCTCCCTCCTCCTCCTACCCCTCCTAGTATGCTCCCTTCTACCCCCTCCTCCTCCTATTCTTCCCCTCCCCCTCTTTCTCCTCCTCTTCCTTTTACCCCTTCTTTTTCTCCTCCTCACCTCCCCTCCACCATCTTCCTCCTCCTCCCACACTCCCTTCATCCCTCACTGTGATGATGATGTGTGATGATGATGATGATGATGATGATGATGATTTGAAAAGTGGACAGTGTTAATTAACGAGTTAAACTTGAGTCACCTTTATCCTGTTACGCTACTTACTTATATGATTACAAACACTCTCTCGTGTGTGTGTGTGTATGAATGTATGTATGTGTATGTCTTAAACCAGAGACTGTGTTTGTTTGTGTGGATTAACCTTCGTAGGTATAAGGCTGCAGGAGTAAACCCCGAACAGAAAAATCTCCGGTGGAGCCCCGCATCGAGCAGACATGCTTACAGAGCTCCAACAAGACCCCAACAGTGTAGGCAGAAGAGTGACCACCATGAAAACAACGACTACACCCGGTGGACGAGGCAATGCCTGGTGGACAGGCTACTAAGGCGAAACCCAACAAACTGGAGCTATC